GGGGAGGCGGCGGTGGGGAAGAGACAGAAATCTTTAATAAATAAATGAATTAAAAAAAATAAAGGCAGGCGTGGAACTCTCAAAATTTGGGAAACAGAAGCGAAAGGATCTGTGCATGTTCAAGGTCAACTAGAAAGAGAGAGAGAGAGAGAGAGAGAGAGAGAGAGAGAGAGAGAACAAGCAAAAATCCCAGAGAACAAACATTACATTAAAAAAAAAAAAGCCAGAAATCAAACACAACACTGAGTGGAAAGGAAGGTCAGGTTCAGCCCCAAATACCCTTTGTTTACCTCTATTGGTCTGGTTTAAATTATGCTTTCATGAGATGGGACCAAAAAAGAAATGCTTATTAGCATGCAGGCTCTCATTTAGGTGGAGAAGGAGGTAAACCAGAGCAGCAAGAGTGCTGAGGAGTCAGGGTTTTCTCTCTGGGCTTTGTGACTCACGTATGAGATCTAGTTTATATCTTACTATCCCACTGTTCCCCTTGGGAATGCTTGTGACCAGCTAGGAACTGTTCAAAACACCCTCTTGTAGGTCCACAATACATTTCTATTCATAGTTAATTTATTCTTTACTCTCCTTGCCCTTTAACCCCAATAAACTCTCTCTACAAATCACAAGAAAACCTTGCTTTATGTGGCTCGAGAAATGGCCCAATAGTCAGAAGCGTTACTGTTCTTTCAGAGGATCCAAGTTTGCTTCCTGGCACCCCAAGAGGAGGCTGCAAGGAACTCCAGCTCCAGGAAGTCTGACAGTCTCTTTTAGACACATGAGCACATGTGCGCGCGCACACAGACACACACATTAAAAAATAATAAATCTTTAGAGGTAGAGAGAGATGGCTCACTAGTTACACGGGAGCTTACTGACTTTCCAGAAGACCTGAGTTCAGTCCCCAGGATCCATGTTAGGTGGTTCACAACTGTCTGTAACTCCAGCTCCTGGGGATCTAACACCTCTGGCTTCCAAGGGTACCTGCACTTACATGCATATACGCATCCACACATACAAACACGCATACACATAGTTAAAAAACAGACACACTTTTAAAAATAGTAATAAATCTGAGAGGGGGGAGAGAGAGGGGTAGGGAGAGAGCGATAAAGAGAGAGAGAGAGAGAGAGAGAGAGAGAGAGAGAGAGAGAGAGAGAGAGAGAGAGAGAGATTTGCATTGTAAGTAAGTGTGCAAGTGTGCAATCTTGGGCACCTAAGGGATAGAGTGGACAGCCTGTGTGTGTCTGCCAGGTGACAGAGGCTGCACTAGCTGTCTGGGAAACTTATTTCCCTTTGAATTCCCAGGAAGAACCTGATGCAGGCAAGGCTATTTCCACTTCACAGATGAGAGTACCGAGGTTGCACATCCAAGGTTGCACAAAGTCTAAATGGCAGCCCTTATGTCTGCACAGGTCTGTCTAGGATGGCAGTCCCACGACTCGTTTAGATCCCTCCATAAATATCTCTCTCCTCCCCATTAACTAGCTTCCTGGTTTACAAAATAATGCATGAACACAAACAAGGAAAGAAAAAGATGTGGGGCCTCAAGTTTACACCTAAGTGTTTAACAAGAAATCCTGATTTACTGTTTAGGTGAAGGTGGCTTTGCCGTTCTTTACACATGTTGTCCCTTTGACTGAGTACTCCACGGCAACACTAGTGTTAATTTGTAGGCAAGCGACAAAGTGAGTTACAGGCCGCTAAGTCACAGTGGGTTTCAGGTTCTTCCTAAGTAGCCCATTATGTAAAAACAAAAAGCAGATAAGCCAGGAGAACGTCCAAACCAAATGAGCAAGGGGCAGCAACAAAGACCTTGCATTCTTAAAGAAAAAGAAAACAACTGCTACCTGCAGTGCTGACTATCTGGACTCTGCACAGCTATGGGAACTGCAAGTGGCCTGGGGAAGGACAGAGTGCTCTTTGGTGGACCTGATAGGAAGAGCAGAGGAAGAGTTAGAAAGTCCTCTGATGTGCAGAGGAAAGGATGGGAAAGAGGGCACAGAAGTAAGCTTCTGAAAAAATGCCAGGTATGTCTTGGTGTGACTAGGACAACAGTCAACTCA